TTTGTGAAGAAAGGCCTCAAGCCACAGAAATCAATGAGATAAACACGAAAATCTGCCTGCTAGCCTGAAATGCGCGCCGCGTGCCCACCGCCTTCGAAGGCATCTTTCTTATCATTGATCGTCAAGAAGAAATCATCAGAATATCTGAAGAAGTCAACTCAGCATTGGAAGAACAGAGATCGTAGTCATGCCAAAGATAGAGCTGTCATCATGCGGGAAATGCTGTGATGGTATTCCGAGCGGAGTGGAAGTCCAAGGCCAGAGTTTCTTTGTGTTGCGTTAGCTTTGCTTGGCTATACGGGCTGGTGAGTCGTTTTCGTAGATGGGATGTTCTCCTGAAATGACTAACATTTAACATCAATGAGGAATCTTCAGGAGCAATGTAAGAGGATAGCGGATAGGCTACCCATGATCGGCTTTCTTGGGAGACTTAGTACACTACTTTATGAGTGTTTAGGGCACACGGCCTATTCCACTATCACTCAGTCCTGGATAATCTACGTACTTGAAGGCGAAAAAGACGTGCGAACTAGACCACCAGTGAAAAAAGGAAAAGAAATAGCTGAAAACCTAGAATTTGAGACCATCTCTTGGTACGAGTGCAACGTCATCAATGCGAGAAATAGGCGGGAGAACAATTCGAGGCCTTGGGATACCAACGAAAAGGACCTGATTCCCTAATCGCATATTTTTGGACGAGGGAGTCGAGCGAGTGGTAAACGAGAGAGTCGCAGAAATCGCGCCATGTAAATCTATGCTTTCAGGACAAAAACTCGAGTCCGTGGGATACCAACGACAAGAACCTGATTCCCTAGCCGCATATTTTTGAGTTGCGAAAACGGCACGAACCCACTCTTTGTGAATGGTTCTATTCCACTACAAGGGAATGGTCCGCGACTCAATGTCAAATGTGTATTCGGGGAATGATGAAACTTGTGGATTAAGTAAATGGAGGCATCCCCATGAATGCATTCTACAAAATTGAATGATGACTCCAAGGTTATTAATCATTTCCACCTGCATGCGATGAGAAGACCGCCTCATCTGGTGGTTTACCATTTGGGATGGTTGCAGTAAAGGTGAATAATGGTCGAGAAATTACTCGACCGACTCATGGATTGTGCGACGGTAATGCGAGAGTTGAGTACACCGCGCGGAGACAGTACAGACGGCTACCCGCGTGTGCCGAGTTGGTGAATATCGTGTGTGAAGAGAACGTAACTGATCAGGCGAAATCTCGACACCGTGCGGTGGAGAAATCGACGCGCGTCATTCACCCTGGTCTTATACTGGGTGCGGCAAAAGTTCTGGCAACGGTAAATATGCCCGTAAAAAACGGTCGAATCGATCGATACATGATACAACTTCAACAGCATTTATCAACAGCTATATAGATCACAAAAACAAACTAGATCTCGAAATAGCCTCCTTTTGCTCGAATACAGGCTGAAAGTCTCCTAGGAAACGCGTCGACGGCGGCACGGAGGTAGTCCTCGTCCAAATCCTCCCATGCTTTGACGAGGGTTGCACGTAGAGCATCCAAACTTCTATGCTGAGTAGAGCAGGCTTTTGTCTTAAGAAATGACCACACGGCGTAGTCCAATGGATTTAGGTCTGGACTGTTCGGGGGCCAATCGTTCGACGAGATGAAGTCTGGGAAGTGCGTTGCGCACCAGTCCTGTACCACCTTGGACCTGTGTGCTGGAGCTGAGTCCTGTTGATAAGTCCATGTCCGGTTGCCGAAATGGGATTTTGCCCAGGGGAGTACCTCCTTCTCCAACACGTCTTTTAAGTAGATCTTACTATCCACCTTGACCCCTTTCTCCAAGAAAATCAGGGGCATCTTGCCGTCCGATGTGATTGCCCCAAAAACCATCAACGACTTTGGGGTGTCCAGATCGCTGAACAATCCCTTTATGTGTGGCTGGCTTCTGCAGGGCTTCCCGCTATTATTATATCGTCGTTTTGGGTGTTCAGGAATTGATCTGTTGAAAACATGCATGGGAGGATTTGGACGAGGACTACCTCCGTGCCGCCGTCGACGCGTTTCCTAGGAGACTTTCAGCCTGTATTCGAGCAAGAGGAGGCTATTTCGAGATCTAGTTTCGTTTTTGTGATCTATATAGCTGTTGATAAATGCTGTTGAAGTTGTATCATGTATCGATCGATTCGACCGTTTTTTACGGGCATATTTACCGTTGCCAGAACTTTTGCCGCACCCAGTAGTACACTCAACCTAAAGTTGGGCGTAAGCCTAAATCAGGCGGAATCCCATTGCCGCGTAACCAGCAACCATTCTGGTAGACCCAGCGCGGTAAGCTTTCCCAAAGGTCACATATGTACCCGGTAGTTTATTACCTTCAATGATTTATAGGCAGACGTGATTGACAAAAAAGGCGAATCGCAGATTTACCGAAAATCCTCATCCTCTTCATTTAAAGCCAATCAGATTGTATTTTTTCTAAAGGGATTCGGAGGAAATGATGATAGCTGTTCAAAAAATTGCAGATTGTCTCCCTAGGCATTATGCGAGAATATTTACAGAGATGCAGAAAACAATTGTCGTATCTTACAACATTTACAGGCCACTTAGTCCACCGCAGATCGGTTGCCGAGCATTTGGCTTGAGGGCAGCCTCAAATGGGTACGGGCACTCAAGTTTCCATGTTATAGTGTGATTTAGGTGAGAGAATCGCTCGTTGCACATACTCTAGGCACTTAGACACGACTGCTAGCAAGCACGCGTTTGACACCTTCCGCGATACGGCGCTGGTCTACAGAGGATATATAAGCGCGCGAATGAAGACGAACCAGCGCGATATACCTGGATGAGTTGAATTGAGTGCATACCTTGCAACAATGGCGAATGTAGTAGCACCAATGACGAGAAAAGTGCCCAGAACAATCACCCAGTAAGTTACTCGCATGTATGGCGAAGAGAAAGAGTAAGATGCACGACAGGAACGCACTGAAATCTCATAGACTACTAATAAAACAAGTGATAAATATGTGTACGTTAAAAATGAATCGATCGCTTAATAATTTAATGCTCTGCCCATATCGGACACAGTTCATAAAATATTCAGCTATGGAGGGTTGTTGATAAATGGATGGGATGTGGGACGAATATCAATAATGCATGAAACTCTGTTCTTTGAACTGTCCAACAAGATTGTGATACCTTAGGGAGTTGGACGATAAAGTCAAATACACAGGATTCACACGTCATTGATTAAGGTACATAATTGAACAGTTTGTTCAAACGATACCTGCGGGAAGCACATGTTTAACTATTACAGCACATGCTTTACTCACCCCTGCAGTTGCTGAGTTCGACCGCCCTGGTGGATTTGTGGAACATACTTGCGAAAAATATTGCCTTGTTGAGCCGAAGGGTTTATAGGCAACCATTGACAGCGCATATTAAACGGCAAACCTCACCATGACTAGAACGGTTAGATTTGACTTAACGGTGTTGACTCGGCTCATCTTCGCTCTCTGTCTCGTTCCACAATTCCCACTACCGCACCCGGTGTGTGCAATGGGTTGAACCGGTGCGAGTGAGTGTGTCTGTGCATGACAGTGAGAGTTTTATCGCAATAATGACATCACGCTCAACACTGATATGGGCTTGAGATTTCCCGGTTGCCTTTTCATTTTTCCCTCCTCCCTCCCACCCCTCCCCCGCTTAGGTGCTTATTTGGCAGTTAAGGATGTTATCACTACCTGTCACAAAGAAACACTGCTACCGCAATATCTGCGAAGGTCCCTAATTTTGAGTAGCAGTGGGATTACTCCTTTGGCCCTTGTCACTTCACTTTGCGGACGGAAATATGGATATTAAAATCAAACACATACAAATTTAAATCGTGTGTACATCATTGCGATTTTCAAATAAAAAAAGTGCTTATGTTGTTTGGGGGTGGGGCAAATTCGGCATATGAAGCCCACTTGCCACTACTAGGAACTAAGCCTTCCCATTAAAAAGGGGGAGCGATTTTTTTCTCCCGCTCGTTTCACCCTCTTTTCTGACTCAGTCTACTTCGCGGTATTCGCATTCCCTGTATTGAATGTCCCCCTAAGGCCATGAGCGCTCATCAATCTACACTAATTAATTCATATAAATTTAAATGAGTTATTTGCTCTGCGAGAAGAGTTAGATAGGTGCACATCTATCGGCCTATTTGATCAATTTTCAGCTGACCTGATAAAGTCGACTCATGGAGAAGACTTGCATGCGAGCATTAGGCACGGCCACTTGACAGATCACCGCTCGACCCATGGTGATAGTGAAATCTCCCATACCCATTAGAAATCCAGTAATAACGACCACGATTCTGCTGAAATGGCAATGTGCTAATGAAAGCTCTATGGACTTGAAAGTAGTGAAATATAATAGAACAGAAGAAAAATTTCACGATATTGAAGTTCGAAATACACGGCAACTTCGATGCTGCCTAAAGGAGAATTCACGATAAGAACGAAGGTCAAAGAAGGGGAAAATTGCATAGTTGGGAGACAGGCGGACCTCCTGAGGGTGCTGACCGACGCGCAATTGGCAGCGAAAGATTTGACCTTCGGCGATCTAGCATGGCTCACTCTTGGCGCGGTTGGCGGGGTACGCCCACCGACTATCTAATCACTCGCCGCAGGTCTATAGGCGAGTGATTAGATAGTGAGAGAGCGTAGTGTTGAAGAGGGCACAGCGATGAGAGTCGCATCAATGCGCAAATCAACGGGCAAGGAAGGGGTCCCATTTCTCGGGTTCTGGGCCGTTTCAAATGGTTTCTTCTTCATCCCTGCTCCACTGACCCTCTACCCTTATTTCCAATGAGCTAACTTTTCATCGTAAGGTCTGCCTTCAACATACGTCAACGGCACGATTTCGCTTCGGTTGTAGATCGAGTTCTCGGTTTTCCTATGACCATTTTTTCTATTCTCGCACATCCTTTTCATCTTGCACTGGCGCACAGCGCACCATGAAAAAGTGAAGGAAAAAACCGAAGAAAAATGGTCTGGCAGAAGCAATTTGGCTGATCGGAATTCCTGGTCTTAACATTCAGCCTTGAGAGGCGAATGCTACCCACCTTCCCATTTATCATGGACTGGTGCAACTTAGAAAGCCCGCAGCTGAGACATTATGAAATCTAAATGCTTAATGTAGAGATAGAGGGGTAACCCGTTACCGTTTCCTTCCTGAAGGTCCGAAATAGTAGCGCTTGATGAACCCTCAAAACAGCTTGCTTCCAGATTTGGGTACATACAAGGTTTTGAGGCATTTGCCGTCTGGAAAAGCTATGTCGCAATCCTTTCTTAGCCCTATCCAATCCTTCCGTCAGCATACGGATAAAGAATGAACCTATAACAACGAGGAACAAGTTGTGGGTGAAAGTCGCAGTTGAGGCAGTGTTTTGCCCACAACTCAAGCGCCCTTGTTATAGCATTCGTATCGCAAGCTACAAAAAAGGCACCAGTGGAAAAGAAAAACAAATCGTTATTGATTTTATGCAATTACAGAGAGAGAGTTAGCAATCAGAAGCGAAAAGTACTGAGAGAAGCCGGTGGTACCTTGGTGTGATGAGCAGTGACTGATCGGTTGTCGGCTTAATGGTGGCCATATCGGGAACGGATAATAATATTAGCACGAGTGCCGTCGATACTGCCACGAAATGCATGGAAATCGTCAGTACAAGGCCCCATTCCTTACTTCTACGGATCAGACGTCGGAGTACCACGCCACACCAAACCTAAAATAAGTATAGACAGGTGTTTGTGATCCAACCGAGATCCGTCGACGAGTGACCTCAGCCGGAAGACGAGGCTTCGGCGAAGAATTGTCATTTCGTTTTCAACACTGTAGTTGTCCTACGGAATCTTCACATTACCGTAATGATACCGTAGACATTTTGGTTTTTCTTTCAGGGTTTCAAAACTGAGTACATCATGGAGGCAACCACCATGTTCATAAGGAAATTCTTAGAAAAAGCCCCAATTTTCAGAAAGGGTTGTCATACCCGCATAAAATTTGTGGCTATACCCAGGACTTGCTAACCCACTAACCATCTAGCCACTGCACTCAGTCGGTCTATCGTTGCCACGTTTCAAAAACAGTTTACGTACCGCCGCCCCCTCTCGCCAACTCACGAGTATCGAGCCCCCCCGTTGCACTTGTACAGCATACGATAGGTTGACTGGCCTGCACCATTCCAGCTGGGGGTGCATGCGATGCAACAATTTTGAGCTCCAATGCCAATTTGGCCAGGAGTTCCCCTTTAAAGTTGCGAAGTGGCTGCAGCTTTTTCCCATACGCGTGTTTCTTCTCGTTTTTTTTTATAATGTATGTGTTCTGTGCTGTTGTAAAAACACTTGATGAATATGTCAATATTACCTAATGTCAATTTAGGACTAATTAGCCCTAGAAGAGGAGATGAAATACCTTTACTGTGAAAAAGCGAGGATTGCTCACGAACCCGGGGTATTCCCTCCCTTCCGAGGCTTAGTCCTAAGCATTTGTACTAAGAAAATATGCTATCGGTGGTTTTTCAAAGCGTTGTTGAGTGGCTCTAGAATCGCAATGCCCCCACCCTACCTGGAAAATAGACCACAGCACCTTTCTGAAAGTGGCGAATTTCAGGACACGTACCGAATATCTCAGCTGCTCCCATTCCGAAACTGTAGATGGCGACTATGTAGCCATCATGTTTGAGCGCATCTGTGAATGCAAGCCCCGTTGTCGGTAACCCAAGACAGGCACGACCCAGGATCCCAACCCATGTGCCCCAAAGAAGCGGCAACAATAACAGCATTTCAACCTCGATCACAGCGATGATTTGAATTTCAGCCCTGTAAATTACAGCACGTCTCTGGATGAGTTGTCTGGACGCAATACATGATCGGCTGTAAACAAGAATCGCGTGTAAATGAATCAGGCGCTTACTTACCCCACGATTGGCCCGCCACGCGCGATTCAAGAACCTTCCTATGTCAATTGTAGACCAGATCCGCCGCGTGCGGCTCCGTTAAGCACGCCAAGCAACACGATGCTGGGAAGGTACCTCAGCTATCTCGCTCCCCCATTAAAAACGAAGCCGCTGTCTCTCCTAGCTATCCTAATCCTCTCAGGCTCCGCATCTAAGAAGCGAAAGTCTAGCGCATTTCTCAGGCGAAAATCGAGGTGCGCATTGCGGTAGTGTCCGCCTTGTAGGGGGGGCGTAAGCGTGTATGGAGGCGTTGCTCAGAAAGCGAAGCGTCGTAAAGGAACTTGCAGGCTGTCTCTTGATTTGCCTGATGGAATAGGTACATCACTCGCCAGGCTTCGCCCGCGACTCAGAAGGACCCTTTGCACCGTGCGCCGGTCGTAATCTGCGCGCTGTCGCCCCCAGCGCTAACAGTAGAACCGTAGGCACAGCCCATACTGTATTTGTTTCCGTGCGTTGCGACCAAAGGTTCACACTCTGACACTCATATGTAACCTGACTACATTAAAGAAAGAATTCGCGAATACAAGCGACGAATGTCAAAAGGAAAGCAGACAACCACGTGAATAGGAGCTGCGAATGTTCAGTTTAACCAACACTGCGTCTCGCTCCCCGAGAGAGCCCAGGTGAGTAAGAACCGCCGCTGCGGCCGCGTTGCCCGGCCCCCCAACCTAACGTTAGCACGAAGAAACATGCATAGTTGGGAGAACAGGCGTCCTCTGAGGGCCCTGTTGACCGCGGCCGCCTTGGCAGATGAGAAAAGAAGTTTGCCCTCAAACGACTGGCCAAAAAAATGGGCTCACTCCTGCACGCGTCTGGCGGGGTATCCGCCCCACTGCCTATCTGATCCTCGCAGCAGGTTATAGGCGCGAGTTGATCTTAGATAGCAGAGAGAGAGCGTTTGTGGTGGAGAGGGCACAAAGATGAGAGTCGCATCAACGCGAAGTCAACGGGCAAGGAAAGGGACCCATTTCTCGGGTTCCATCTGTTTCCCATGGCTTTCCTTATTTCTTGTAACACTGACCATCTTCAACTTGGTAAAATTGATTCGCCTTTGACATCATTAGAATTCTCTCTGTTTAATAGCCAATTGCAAATATTAGGAAAGGACGACGTTAAGAACATTCTCTCTTTTTATTGCAGAGCAAATTTCTGAATGGAAACAATAGTTGTTCCTTATTTGAAAAGAAGAAGATTTCCCTTACTCAACTCTTGCATAGGGTAATGGTAGCAGTCTGAAGTAGAGGCTTGTAGAATATTAAATGAGACTTGAAAAAAGGTGCATTCCTGTAAAGTCCATGACGCGTGCCTGGAAGCACAATCTTTGAGTCAAATACCTTCTATTTAAATGGCTGCTTGCCAAATTTTCTTTTGGCGGAGTGGACAATCCTTTTAATCCATCAATTACTTCTCTTCACTGCCGTTTGCAATGAGGCGTTTTTACCCACTCGCATCATTGAACATCATCCCCACCAGCCGCGATTTTCGCCAGGCGCTCCTCAGGCTCTCTCTCGTTCTCAACGCAACCATCATTCTCCGAATAGCATTACAGAACATTTTTTTTTCCAAAGTTGTTAATCAAGCGCGCCCAAAGCTGTTCACGCAAAACAAAGAACTAGTTCAGCGCATTCCCTTGCAAAAAAGGGTCTGGTAACAAAGGTACACAAATCATTGGATACTGTAGTGGACGACGAAGTTGTGTACGAGGAAGTGCCGAACTATTTGCGACTTTTTTTTGGATTCGAAAATACAAGTCGTCCAAAGAGGATTACCAGAGAGCAACTGTTCAGCGCTATTCACACAGGTTCGTCACATAGAGGTGCTTTTTCATTGCGGTTCTGGGACCGTAAGAAAGGTATAAAGAAAATCTTTCACAATTCCTTGTCCCGGTAGCGTAACTGGTAGCGCACTTGCCCGGAAAGCGAGAGGTGCGGGTTCTAGTCCCGCCTGGGGCGAAAGTTTTGTTCACAACCCAGCATTCTTGTGAAACATTCGCAAGGCGAACTGCGGCCAAAAACAGCAGTTAACAAACAAAAACAAGGTATAAAGGGATTTATGGGGTCTGTTCCCCGAAGTTGAGACATTTGCTGCCAACGAAAGAAACGCGTCAAAAACGGACATGCCTGCCCAAGCTTTGTGGCAGCCAATACATGTTAACACTTGTAGAATATGCTGAACCTCTTGGAAAAACGTGTCAAAAACAAAACATGTCAAAAAAACAATTCGGCTTCCTTCTATAGCGAGAGCTTCATTTTTAAGCTAACTATCATAAAGTTTTTGATTTTTTCGTTTTATTTACTGCCTGAGTTGTTTTGTTTTGTCAGTTGCCTGCACATATCTTTTCGTAGACATCACCACGAACAGTTGCAAAACCGGCGCTATCGACGCGGGACGCCTCCTCTCACTGTGTCTGAGCCTCCAGTGTTCAGCAGAGAGAGAGAGAGCGTTTGCATTGAGGAGGGCAGCACAGATGAGACCCGCATCAATGCGGAAACGAGGGGGAAGGAAGAGGTCCCATTATATTTCTCGGGTTCTAAGCCTTTTCTTGTTTTTTCTTTCGTTCATCCCTGACCATCTCTAGCTTAATCTCCAAAGGGCTGCCTTTTTTTCGTAAACTCCGCCTTTAATGTGGCACAAAGGGCAGTCCTGGGGCTAGGTGTTGTAACCAAGTGGCGAGTGACGTAGCGCTGCGTGGTTCAGCACCATCCATGTCAAAACATGGGGACCAGGGTGCTTACATACTTTGAGCCGACGTTTGCACTGAAGGAGGTTCTGCAGAATCTTTCCTAGACCAAGCAGAAATGACCTATGACTAATTCTGCGACGATACGATAA